CAGGCAAATAACTTCAAAATTATCACCGTTATAAAAAGATGTCTTTCAAAAATTATGTCCTGAAAATGTAATAGTTGGTTGAAGGAACAATCAAATATTTCTGAATATTGAAAAGTATAGGTTTGTTTTAATAAAGAAGCATCCTATGCCTCATTATAATAATATTAAAAAGTAGTGTGCCAATAAAATTAACATCAGTATTGTTTTGGTTTAGAGTGTACTGAGTTTCCATTGTCTGATTTTTTGATGTAAATTAAGAATAAGAATTGCAAAGGAACATCTATAAGTTATTTTGTGCTTTTAGTTAGCTATCATGAATTGCATTTTTTCAGATTTACAAAACAATTTAGATAAGAGATCTTCAACAAGTTCTAAATCATACAATAAAAACATCAATAGTAATGGTGGTGCATGTAATGAATCAAATGATATGAATGTAGATGAAATGCACAGACTTATTACAGCGGCATCTAAAGAATTAGAAATTGATGCTGAGAAAGCTATTGAGGATATGAAAAAAGATAAAGAAATAATGGAGAAACTGAATGAAATTAAGAATAGAAAGAAATCTGAATCTCATGGTAGGTGTCTGTTCATCAATATTTCAACAAATTTTACACAGAGGCATTTTCCATTTTTACCAGGTATTTTTTCATGGTACATCAATAATTCAAAGGTGTATGCTTCATTGACCCAAAAACATGTATTTACAACTTCACTGTTGTTGAAGGCTTTTGTTACCTCGCCTGAGATTACTGCAGGTTTAGACAGTGTTTGTTTTTACCTCTGTTTGGTCCAGATCATAAGATCTATTTATCATGTCTCATCAATATGGAATGGCTACTTTACCAAATATGTGATACTGTTATATTACAGATGATAATAGACCTAGTGATAGTGATAGTGATAATGAAGATGAAATGGTGAAAAGATTAGTTAAAGGGGTCAGTATATTTGTTTTATATTATTCATCTATTCTGTTACTTATTCATAATTAAAGATACTTTGCTTCAACGACTATAAAAGATATTGAATATAATTTAACAGAACATTAACACTTGTGATCTCACATTTTGAAAAGGCTACACAGCTTCTTTAATCTCAAACTGACTTTAATGAAATTTGGTATGTATACATTTAAATGGATATGAATGTCAATATCAGTATCATTTACATAATTCAGAATAAAAATTCCATTTTACAGTATCTTGAAGAATCTAAGTTAGATGAATGTGTGGGAGATGTTTATTTTAAAGAAAGTAAAAAAGAGAAAAAGGTATTGGCAGTTTAAGTTTTTTGTCTTATGGTGCCCTCACACCATAGCAATCACCATTGCACATGGTTGCAAATATTAAATTGAGTCATGCTTTTCCAAGGCAATTCTCATGCAACTGAGTTGTGAGTTGCATTCAGAACTCATGTCCACTATATCTTTATTTGCAACCATAAACAGCTGATGGTCGCTATGATGTAAGGGTACCTTTTAGATGTTTTAAGCTGAGCTGAGGTAACAATGGAACTTGTGGGTAATAAAGTGCTATCTTACAGTCTACAAATTGCTATGTTAAAGATAGTCTTAGTGAGAAAAACTTTGGGGGGCAAATGGATTCAGATACTATACTTCTGTCCTGTCAAGGTAGCTATATTTGATGTCTGAAGTTGTTGTCACTGTGTAATGAAACAGACTGTATATTGTAGACTACTAATATAGAAGATGATGATTATGATGATGCTGATGAATTACCATATTGTTGTATGTGTACTGAAGATGCTACATTAAGATGTATGGACTGTGATATGGATTTATATTGTCACAGATGTTTTAGGTAAGATTAAAATCATGGATGCCCCATGGACGATATAAGAATTTCAAATACGGAAGAACCATTTGTAAACAATAATATCCACTATGGTCTTTTAGGTTTCTTTTTTATTGATTGTATATTTTGAAAGCCAAGGAAAGTAGAAAAGTCTAAATCTACATCATCCCTACATCAGAGGGGTGCTCGATTGGTGAGATCTGCACATACAGGATATCAATCAGATGTTTAATAAAACAAATTTGAACAGAGTTAAGAATGCATTCCACGTGTGCTGAAAAAATAGTAAGTGTAGGCAGAATGTATTATGACGGAGAAAGGAATTTTGAAAGTGACATATTTGGATTCTATATTGTTCAATTGAGGCCAGAATAGGACCAGACGGTATCTGTCCAAAAGTCATCAATCGAGTGCCGCTCCGGAAGACATACAATAAAATCCATTCTTTTTTTTTTAAATTTCAAATATTTTATTCATTAATGCTGTTTTTTGTTACAGAGAGAGTCATGACAAAATGGATATCAAAGATCATAGAACAAAGAAATATACTGCTCCAAAGGGATATAAGGACTAACTTTGAAACTTTGAAATTGAAACTGGTACTGTTGTTACACTATCTATTAACCTATTGTTAATGTTATTTGTAATCATTATTAAGTCTGTTTATTATTTTGAATAAATTTGTAACATATTGTATTTATAATTTATTGTTAATTGTTTGAGATTTTTACTGAGACTTTGATTCTCAATGAAATAATCATTTTAATCTCACAATTCCAAAAGTTAATTTGTATCCCTATATACATTTATCATTCTTCACTATAACAAAATCTTTCTTTATATTTAATACGAAAATACTTTAATGACTGACATCAAAGAACTTGTGTTCCATCTCTGAATATTAGGAATGCAAAACTATTCAGATGCATTTCATGATGAGTCAAAACACAAATTTGAAATCTATATTAAGAAATATATAATCATTTTGTATTTCCTCAACAAACACTACCTGTAACGAAGCTTGCTTATATTTTTTAAAGGGACAGATGCGCCATTCTTATGACCAATCATACTTTGGTCTCAGAAATGTGAATTTTTTAGAGAAGCTAATCAGTAATAGTGTTCACATCTAACTGTTGAAAATTTAGCCTTCAAATCCATACATGTGTATCCAGAATTTCCCGAGTTTGAATGTTAAATGACGACTCATCATTTTAAGAGACTCTGTGACATATAGAAAAGACATATAGAAATAGTGAGTAAAATTCCTAGTTTGAAGTACGGTTTCTTTAAAGGAATTTTGCAATTTTTGTACATTTCAAGTACTTCTGAAGACTATTTACATATATTCAAGACTCAAATCAACCCCCCAAAATCGAGCATCTGTCCCTTTAAGTATTTTACAGCTTTATTGCAACATAAATTTAAATGAATGAATGAATGAATAAAGTAAAATATCAAGCGCACCAGAAGGGAGCTCAACAATTTGTTTGCAAATTGTTATGCTTTTAATTTCTTTAAACAATCTAAGCTCCCTTTGATGAATTTAGACAGGTCACAGTGAATATTATCACAAAACACAATGAAATCCAATGAATAAACAGAATATTTTCAATAGCGATATTTAGTCGAATAGTCTTTAGGTGATACCACTAAACCTCTCCCTTTTCTAGCACCACGATACACTGTTTCTACAATATCAATAAACTCTTGACTGTCTTCCATTGGCCAGTTTATTTTATTATTATTACCAGTTCCTAAATCTATCATAATGTGCTTATTACGATAAAAAAACATGGTTGTACATGGATCATACAACTCATACATTTTATTAAAATCTGGTACTTTAGAGATGTCCACAAGATATGTAACAGCAAAGTTTTTCATCTTCTCAGCACACCTATATAATGTTTCATCCATAACCATACATGCTGGATCCCAATCATGTCCAAATCGTATTATCACTGCTCGATCTTCTTCTGATAATATAGCTTGATCTACCTGCCATCCATTGTGCAGATGTTGGAGCATATAAGACATTTTGAAGAATTAGTCTGAAATCAACATAAACAAAGATTAATAAAATTTCAAGTTTTCCATAGAAGTAAAAAAAGATTTTCATTTCTTATGACGGTATTAGATCTAGTTTTTTATAACTCAAAATCAAAACTGTGACAAGTCACAAAGTCAGACAAACGAAAAGGAAACGGTTTCAAATGATAGAATGTAAAAATTTTTTTTTGTCTTTGGTACTTAGTATGATCAGTCTTAACTGGAAAATTTTGCACCAAACTTAAACTTACATTTAACTTTATCAAGAAATGAAGAAATGTATTTTTCGCTCTGTTGCTTACAAAAAAAAAGATATTTCTAGAAATTATTATTAAAGGGAAACAACTACAATTATTGGTTTTGTACATTTTAAAGATTTTATTGCAATGAAAATGCTACCTAAGTAAACGAAATAAATATTTATTTTTGGATATGTCAACTCCTTGTTGAATACACACAAAATGCAAATCAAAAAGTAATCAAGGTTACTTATTTTGATAGGTTTTATCAATTTGCTTATCTGTAGAAAATAAATGGAATTTATTTAATATGACGTTTCGGTTCTTGTTATAGGTCTAAATCTTGTGTGTAACCTGCATTCTGAGCACGAATCCAGCCATTGTTATCAATGAAAAAGTAGATCTATTTTTTTATCATATAAGACATTTTCTTAAGTAAGTATCATTAACTCTTGTAATTGAGTGGACATAACCTAAAAGGTAAACGCTCATCAAACTGCTTGTATTTACCACTGCGACTCGTAGTACGGGCTTTTTATCAGAATGGATTTGTAAAATGTATCTTTGGAAAAAGGAAATTTCCAAGCTATTTAACAAATGGCTGACGAGATATCAGTTTCTTTAAAAAAAAAAAAAAAAAAACCGTAATCGAACCTCTGATACAATATAGTTATTCATTATTTTCATATTGTCTGTATCCTTTACTATTAAACTAATGATTGGGGACCCGCAGTGCCTCAGTGAGTCAGACACTTACTCGCTAAAGTGAAGGTCCAGGGTTCAATCCTGGAATAGGACGAGATAATACTTTCGGATGTTTTAACCCGGTTTCACCCTGTCAGCGATTCAGGTGATAAGGCCTGACATGCAAAAATCGTTCAGTCGTTCGGATCTGACAATTAACCGTGGCCCTGTGTGCTACAGGCTGTGCACGTTAAAGATCCCTCAACAGTTGCAAATCGAAAAAGAGCAGACTAATGTTGCTGTTCTGGCAAAATTTCCAGATGTTGCCCGTCTTCATTAGCCCACATGGTACCTGTACAGAAAAGTAAGAGGTAAAACTCCTTTCATTTCATTAATACTAATGTTGTAGTTTTACCGTATTATTCATTTTTCTGTTACAGGATTGGTGGTGTTTTTATTTGCATTTTTGAAAAATGGGAGATCGTTACAATATTCATACACAGTTAGAACATCTACAGTCTAAATACATCGGAACTGGTCATGCTGATACCAATAAATGGGAATGGTTAACAAATCAACATAGAGACAGTGCTTCTTCTTACCTTGGACATTTTGACACTCTTAACTATTTTGGACTTGTAGAAAATGAAGCTAAAGCCAGAGTGAAATTTAGTTTAATGGAAAAAATGCTCCAACCATGTGGTCCTCCACCAAAGAGGATTGAAGATTAACTCAGTCTTACATTAAGCACCATTTTGTATCATATGTTTTCAAACTTGTGTAGAACTCATACCGAACACAGATCAATAGTTATTCAGTTGAGAATTGGTGTAAGCTTATGTTGAATTATAAACATTTGAATTGTATTATCATGTTAAGTTTAAATATTGGACCTTGAAGTTCTGTTAATATTAAATGCAAATTTTTTGTGCGGGACTGCAGTGTAATGCTTATGGAAGTTGACTAATTGATTGATTTACAATAAAAAGTACACCAGAGTCATAACTAAGCAATTTTTCATTCAAAAGCACCAAAAAGATAAACAGCTTTGTTTACATTTGTGCCTAGTATGCCATTGGAAACCTTCTCTTTTTTATATACTTTGACACTATTTTCTCCACATTGCCCATATTTGATTAATATTGACATAACATCAAGGGCCTCAAGTCAAGACTTAATTGTCTGACAATACCAGGTTGAAGTTTATTTATCTGGAAAAAAATGTCCAAATAACATTGACCATTTGTAAGCATGAGAATAGTCATCAAATCAATTGCACTATCCATCAAAGTCATATTTCTCATAATGAGAATCTCATTAAATCATAAACTTACATTCTACCGGTACAAGGTTTCTACATTGACAATCTACAACTCCTGTTTCACATTACAAATAGAGTTGTTTATGGTCCCTCAGGAATAACAATATAGTTACCAAGACATTTCAGTGTCTGGTCATAAGATGAAGGGTTACAGCTGTATATTTTTCTTTTTTGTATTTCAATGAGAACTTCTTCAAAACAATTCTATTGATATGATTTGTCTGTGATGTAACAAAGTTTTGGTTCCACAATGACCTGGTTCTGAATTTACTTTTTATCTAGGTGCAGAAATGACAAGTGTCAAACTGGTGATAAAAATTTGTAAACTCATTAATGTACTCATGATTGTCATTCCCAATAAAAATTTTTAAAATAAATTAATTTTTTTCTGAACGAAATGTAACTGTATCAATTTATGGATAATTTGCGTTCTTTGGGCGGTGGAGAATACATCTAACCCGATTTTGGTAGAATACAAATTTTTCATTTTCTCTTGTTCCAAGGTGGGGCCAAGGCACACCCCCTCAACATGCCAATGCTTCTCTTGGGTTCATCTTTGAGATGGCTCAATATGTGCAGTAAAATGTAAACATTTAAAGGGGGACAGTCTAGAAATTTCAACATGTAAAAGTTACATTACACAATTACCAATTGCATCATCATGAAAATATCTAAGAAAGAATATCATGTAAAAAAGAATACTATCACCAAAAATGTTGAACTAGTAACATAGTCATACAATGAAATACACAAATTTGGTCAGAATTTTTTTTGTACACCCACTTCATTTCTAAATTTCAAATGTAAGTCTGCCCCCTATTTGTACCCCCTTTTTTATTAGGCTGGACCCACCACTGTATATTGCAAGTAGAATAGACACAATGCTGTAAGAGTACATTAATGATATATATTTCTATAAATTCTTCATCATGCTGAATATATAGACCTTCCTTTAGTTTATTGGGCTGTAGATTAAACAAGATAATCCAACTTATTAATCTATTTAACTATCATTTGTTTAATACAAGTCAAACTGTGAGAAAATGAAGAATTTGATTGTAATTCAATAGTATAATCTGCTAGATTAGAAACTGTATAACAGAAATTTTTTTAATTAACTGTTTCTAATTAACATTCTTTATTTTTCACATCCGTTGTCAAGGCATGACATTTACACTGTGAATTTTTTATTTATATCGCTTCCTGATACTTTCACAGATTTTGACTGTGCACATATCAGCTGTTACTATACACTACATACAGTTAGAGACGCTTTGATAGACCGTATACCCCTTTTGTGTAATAGACTCTTCTATAACGGTACACGTTTATACACTACACAGTGAATTACTCTCAGTTTAGACATGGATACCAATAACATAACACTTATAACTCACAATTATGGATTTATTTAACGGTTTTTCTGTGGATTATGGTTAATATTATTCAAGATCTATTATGGCTAATAATATCAAAGTTGCAGTTCGCGTTAGGCCATTATCACACCGGTAAGTTACAAAACTTTGGAATAGTTTATAGACCATTCCATTTATCCTGGCAGTGTTCACAATATAAACACTGTGGCCTGCATTCAAACTTGTTATCAGAAATAACTCTTTGAGAATGTTGGTGCCATGTTTTTGCCATTTATTTTAAGGAAATGAGAATGTTGATAAGATTCCATGATTAAATTGACTCAATTCTACAAACCATTCTGGTACCATAAGAGTCTATACTAACCTCAAAGACAGAAATTTTATCCTGTAATTCCTTTGTGTGACCAGCCAAATTCTGTAAATCTGTATCTGAAATGCCATGCCAAATGCGAAATGTAGGCCTACTAGCCTGATGGCAAAATATATTTGATGGAATTGGAATGCTCTCTTATTTCAAGGAATTACAGAACTAATAATGTTGTACATCATCAAAATATCATAATATAAATTCTCCTAATGGCCTTAAATATCCAGCAAGTAGCATA